TCAATATAATCTCTTTTCAGCTCGAACCACTCGCCTTTCAGTATTGAAATCGAAAAAATAGATTTTCTCTGAAAATGGCCTCAATCCGTTCCTTTCTGTCTTAAAACAACTTGATGATGTTTCAGAGTTTCGCTTTCTATTAGACTCGACCAATTGACCTCTAGTTTGTATCGCATCTATCAATTTAAAAATTAAGTACACATTAGGGGATATGCAAGCTTCTCTTTTGCATAAATTTGCATTCGAACTAAAATGAATTCATTTGCCATCATTGCACACACATCATCAGCAGCGTCTCAATACTACATAGCCAATTCCATTACTTCTTCTAATTGTCATATTTGTATATGCTACTGATGATATGACAACACGCACATAGATGAGGAGCATGCATGCAGTATAATCGAAGGCCCTACGATGTTTCTCAAGATGATTGTTGGAAAACGCTTCTCTAAACGCTTTACAAATTCTTTACGTTCTTTGATTTAGCTACCTTGTTATCTTAATTACTAGATTATATGTTTATAGTCCAGTAAGAAGTTTTTCCTTTGACATAATTTTGGGGGGGGGGGATGTATTTTCTCTTTTACCCACCTCCTCTCAACTTTGTCGTGGATGTGCCCCATTATTTTGGTTCTTTGAAGATTTTTTCCACTCTTCATTGAGTTGTCTAAGTTATTCGGGTGGTGAAATTTTATTTTGTCCTGCCTTCTTCCCTAATCGAAGGCACTCACTGCAGAAAATCAAATAATTATGTGAAAGTGCCTATTTGATTCCTACCAACTTATAAGTATCTCATCCTTTCACAAATTTCTGTCAAATTTATTTCCTGCAATTGGAGCTACAAGCTTTGAAATTTCTTGCTTTGTAGTTAATTACTTTAACTTTCCTCACCAACTCATAACTTTTGTTTCCCACTTTTCATTTGCGTGTCCATGATTTCAGCGCATCGAAAATTATTCAACTGACGGTGACTATGTTATTGCGGAGGTTTGTATACGTTTTATTATCTCTCCAATTTAATTTTTTGCCATAATAGGGTACCGATAAAAATTTAGGTTTAGAGTATATTGGGCACTTTGAATATTCAGTTGCGGCATTTAATTCACAAATCCAGTTACTTTGGTTTCAAATCCACAGCATCTTCATAAACTTTGAAGTACTCTGGGCCAATTTTAAACCGAAGTAGTTAACACTTCGGTGTTGGTGTGAAGATTTTCGAAAGTCATGTAGGGCGATGTGTTAGTGCCTTCAGAATTTAATAATTGCTTTTCTGGTAGTGTTTTTAAGACTTATTGCTGTATCTTCTCATTGCTCTTAAGCAACTTATTTGTTTTACACTAGTCAAGTAAACCCTACTCTTACATTGCTAGTAAGTGTCCAAGCAAAAAATGACCCTCTTTCTTATGTCTATTCCCTGTGAAGTTGAGGACATCTTCTAGCTCAGCTCTTTATAGACTTCAACC